TACTCCCGCAAAGATCAACAGTCTCGTCTCGGAAGCTCTATACTGGTTTGCTGTGAGTAGGAGCGAGCTCAACAGCACTTAACAGCAACAGACAACTCCTTGAGCGCAAAGTTGCTACTTAAATCGTTTGGAATTCTTCTGCAGGGGATATTTCACTCTTCTTCCTATTTATTTATTCAATTGTTCATTTATTTTAATATAAACTCATGAATCTTTATATTATGTTGTTGTTGTTAAGTGCCATCAAGTCAGTTCCAACCCATAGCAACCCAGTAAAAGGTTTCCAAGGAGCAGCTGGTGAGCTTGAACCACCAACGTTGTAGTTAAAATAGCTTTGTAGTCTGGTGCATTAACCCACAGCACCACACCAGGACGTCATTATACTCTGGATTTAATCTTCTACTGTTTTATTTAGCCGCTCAAATTGTTCCAGCTTTGTCCATCGGGAACCCTTTCATTTGTCCCCAACCATTTACATATCCATTATTGTTGTCATATTTTGGAAGCACTTTGTTACTTCCAGAATCCAGTGAGCTTACTTTATTATTGTATTTTTCATCTCTAAAGTTTCCATTTAATTGATATATGTATGTATGTATATTATGTCTTCCTTCCTTCCTTCCTTCCTTCCTTCCTTCCTTCCTTCCTTCCTTCCTTCCTTCCTTCCTCCCTCCCTCCCTCTCTCCCATCCTTCCTTCCTTCTTTTCTGAGGCTTGCTATTTTTAAAATTTGCTTCAAGCATGTTTTCCATGTAGAGGCCTGCTTGTCAGAGAAGTCTAATATTATCTGTCCTTTCAGTGGTCGTCCTCCTACATTAGTTGGCCTTCTACTAAAAAGAAGAGCTTGTTCTTCTGCTCTCTTTTCATTTCTTAGTATCACCAGGGATGAAGGGTCCTTTTTTACTCCATGTGGTTTATGAATTTGTGGTTTAAGGTTTGCCCATGGGAACCTTAACCTTATGACATGTTTCCCACCATTTCTGGGGCCCAGCCTTGCCTTTTGACACACAAATGTTTTGGGTTCATCCTCTAGTTTTATTGCCTCAGCCTTGAAATTATCCATTTCTGCAAAAGAGTCATGGTTCCTTTTTGAGAGGTGTGGTTTCTAGAAACCAAGAACCAAGATCTAAGTGCTCTCATTATTACTGAGGTGTCAATGATTCTAATTTATTTCCACAGACAGAGCTGAGAAATAGACTCTTATTTAGAATTTTTAAATGTGTTCACACTGATACTTCCAATTTCAACCCAATACTACAGAGTTATTGCTTGCTTTATTCCATTGCATAATGATATCTCCATTCTTCCACAGTAAGAACCCTAGCTCAGTCTGATAATGCATGCATGCACACACACAAACACTTCAGAAAAGCTACACCCATGCTACTACCCACAGCAAACTTACTAAAGTTCAAGATTTCTTTGTGATTCTTTTTGTAAAAAATTGGTTCAAAATTACTTGGATGAGATTTTTTTTTCTCTCTCTCCTGTATGTGGTTATGCTACTTACCACACAGTCAGTGGTTCAACCCTACCAGCAACTCCTCAGGAGAAAGATAAGGCTATCTATACCCATAAAGATTTATAGCTTCAGAAACTCGAGAGAATAGCTCCACTCTGGCCTAAAAGGTCACTGTGAGTCAGACTTGGCCTGATGGCATTGGGCTTTGTGGTTATGCTACTCATTTTATATACAATGTTTGTGTATGATGTGATGTCATGTTTTTTTCCCCATCCTTGTCTTATGTATTTTGAAATGTCAAACATTAACATAATTCCTTAAGTCAAAACTGCACAAAAAGGTGTATTCACAGGAAGTACTTGTGACTCATCTTGTTACCGCTGAACAGTTCAGTTCACCTACTAGGTAGGTTTCCACTGACACCTTCCTGGCTGGGAGGGATGGAGGGACACCTTGTCACTCCTCCCCATGTGGCCTCTGGTGACTCTGGGGAAGGAGCAGCCTGGCTCCACTGTCTGTCCCAGTCAAGCTTGTCCTCACAGACACTTAGGAACTTGGTATAGGGATGAAGTCACAATGGACAGTAGTAGCTCTGGAAGCTACTTTTTTTAAACATCATAATCTGCTCCTCGGAAACCCTATGCAGGGTCACTATGGGTCGGAACCAACTCGACGACACTTCACAACAACAACAATCTTCAAAAAGAGCAAGAATATAGTCTCCCTGAAAACAATCCTCTAGAAGTGATTGGTGTCACTCTTTGCCTAAACTCCCATTAGATTCTATTTTTCTCAGGGATTTCAGAGAATATAGAATAGAAAGATTTCAGGAAAGTCAGCTGAAATCGAAGAGGTGTGTGTGTCGCACCTTGGGACCTACTATGGACCCATCCCTGTGTATCTTACTAGCAGTTTTAGAACAGCCTTTTGATTATTCCTAAAATGCTTCCAGAGCCACGGGCTAGAAATTCTAGCTCTTCCTCCCCTATGTAAATGATGTATCAAATTGTTGCTTCTCTTCATTTCTCCTTTTATGAGGCAACAGTTGGGACCTGGCACAAAAGGCAAGGGATCAAAACAGTGTTGGGTAGACAAATGAATACAATTGGTGGCCCTGCTTTCTGAGGTCCACTTCTTACTATCTCAGATTTTCTATGCCTGTTGTATCTATAAAATGAGAATATTCGTTTTTTGAGTTTGTTGGGAGGACACAAGGTTTATCAAGCACCTAGCTCAGTGTAGATAAAGCACCTGCCTTCACAGTAGAAACTCTGCTTAAAATTTTCCAAAGGTTTCCATTCATTTAGAAAAAAAATCTAAAATTCTTACACCATGGACTCTACAGGTGGAAATACTGTCCCCTGCCTAACTTTCGAGTCTCATCTCTTCATCTCTCACCATCCTCCAGTCCCACTGACTTCCTTTCTGTTCTTCAGACACTCCAGACTTGTTACTGTGAGAAATAACTCTTAGGATGGTCCATCTTCGGGACTGAGGGGCATCCAGGGGATAGCAGGCGAGCATAACAAAGGAATCTCACAGAAAGGGAGAGAATTGTTTGACTAGAAACTTTAAGAATACACCCATCAAGAAAATAGGGGAAGCTCCCGGGGAAGAGGAAAACTAACTTTAAATGAAAAAATCAAGGACAAGTAGGTGCTGTCCAGGATAGATTGTTAACCCCATAGTATTCAGTCAAGAGGAACTGGGGGAAGGTCTTTCTCAAGACTGGGGAATAAAATTCTTTGCGAGCTGGCCATGCCTGGTGTCTGTGTATCTGATTTTGCAAAACTGAATAAAGAAAACCTCACTCTCGCTAAAATGAGTACAGATTGGATTTCTTGTGTTTGTTGGTAAGCACTCATGATAACTCATTGGTGACCTCATAACCAAGAGGAACAGAGACAGTATCTGGGGTATCAACCGCATTTCTTACATTTCCACATCTGTTTTGCATTTGCTCTTCCCTGTGTCCAAGGTGGCGTCCTGGTGTGACACTGTTGAATAAGTACTGAACCACAATGTCAGTTTGAATCTCACAATCAGCAGTTCATATCCACCAGCCACTCCTTGGAAGCCCTTTATAGGATCTCTATGAGTTGGAACTCACTGTCACATAACATCTGTTCTAGATCTGCTGACTCCAGAGCTTCACTTGGTGGCTCTTTCCTGCCATTCAGGTCTCCATGAGAAGCCTTCTCTGATCATCCAATCTAAATGGACACTCATCCAAGACATTTTCTCTCTTCATTGATGTCTTTCCTTCCTATCATTTATTATTTGAAACGGTTTCCTTTGTATTTACAAGGGCAAGGAGTTTGTCTGGCTTATCTATTGCTATTTTCTATTAAAACAGTGCCTAGCACATAGTGCATACTCATAGTGATGAATGAATATGTGATAAGATCTAGACACGTTGATGTAAAGTTCTGCCAACACCCCACCAAAAACCTTCCCTGCTCCTAGATCTTTCCTTTCCCCGAATTGTTCTGCCATTGCCCAGTCAGCAAGCTGGGTTTGGGTTGAATCCAGTTCAAGTTGAAATTAAAACTTCTGATTACACCTCCTCATGTATAACTTGTGTTCAGTCTAACCCAGAGACAGGAATCCTGTGGTACCTTGAATGTACTTGATATGGATTTTCCATCTGACATCTTCATTATTCCCATCAAGAGATTAGATGAGGCCATGCAAATAAGGTGTACAGGACTCTAAGACAGATTGGTTAGTTTTGCCATCCCTGCTAGGTTTAAAAGGAGCTCCCTCAGAAGCAGAAAGAGATGATCCCAGGACCATCAAGAAAGAAGAGCTAGAGTGGAGTGTGAGATCCCGGTTAGGAGAGCAGCGACTGCAGAGGCGGTGGCAGAGGCAGTGACATGGAGCAGCTGTCGGCATCTAGGCCCATAGACTGAGGAAAGCTGTGTGAAGGAGGCTGGATTGCAGGATGTGTCCTTATAGATTCACTAAAAGAGCTTGGTAACACTTGCCAGAGCAGGGCAGAGGCTGTGGGACCACACGGCTGAGAGGCCAAAAACAAAAGTGAGGTGTGCCTGCAATATGGCAGACAAGAGGCATTCTTGACTGGAGAACTGTTTCTCCCTGCGTTGTTTCTGATCCTGAATTGTATACCCTGTTCATTTCCCTAATAAACCCCATAGTCCTGAGTATTGCTGTTAGTTCTGTGTGACCATTGCAATGGATTGTGGAACCCAGATGTGAAGCAGAGAGTGCTGTGGGAGGAATGGTTGGTGTCAGAATAGGGAAAAAAAGTTGTAGAGTTAGAGTGGAGGCATGTCTGACCTCCGCTTCATAGGAATCAGCTTTGAGCTTAGATTGAATTTGATTCTCTTTCCCCCTTGTGAAGCCAGAGGAAGTCAGACATGGGCCCCCACATGGTTTTTGCAGGACCCTCATTTTCTTTGCTGGCATAAAACTGCTATGACCTAAAGAAGGGTATTGCTGGGACTCAGCCTCCATTTTTGCCCAGAAGTCACCTGGAGGTTGGAAGTCTGGTCTGTTAGACTAGTTCCTCTTGGAATGCTTTGACAGAAACAGCATAAATAAAGAGACACAGCCAAAGGGAGCATGTCTATTTAAAATTCCTCCCCTTCATTTTCTTCTTCAAATGAATCAGTTCCCACTTCTTCATAATCCTTCTCCAGGGCAGCCAGGTCCTCCCTGGCCTCAGAAAACTCTCCTTCTTCCATGCCCTCTCCAACATACCAATGCACAAAGGCCCGCTTGGCATACATGAGGTCAAACTTGTGGTCCAGGCGAGCCCAGGCCTCTGCAATCGCTGTGGTGTTGCTCAGCATACAGACAGCCCGCTGGACTTTGGCCAGGTCCCCTCCAGGCACCACAGTGGGTGGCTGATAGTTGATACCCACCTGAGGAACAGAGAGAAAGGAGGGGCAACAGAGGAAGGTGCAAATCAGTCACAGGAGAGCTGGGTAGTGGCTCCTCTAGACAGGCATCTTGGTCCCAATGGTGTGCTAACAAGGCCACATCATGAGTGTAGAATTAGACTATAGAACAGAAGGTAAAAAGAGGAAACCAGAGGCTGGGGAAGCAGGCAGGCAGAGAGGTGTGAATGTTGAAGAAAAAGCACAAGTGCGTGGGATTGGATACAGGCAAATTCAAGGGTCAGCGTTGGGGAAGAAAGGAGAACTATAGATCTGAAAATGGTAGAAATGCTAGTGGGGTGCTTCAAGTAGACAGGGTAATGAATAATATCATTACTAAGGGAAAGGTGTGCATTGTATGTCTATGTTTAAAAGGGAAGACACTGTTACAGGCAAATGAATTTCTAGACTTGAAATTACCCTAAAGCTTCATTTTTCCCAGATGATCATTTGAAATTCCTTTTAATTATGCTGCGATTAAATTTAGGGAAGTTTCTCTGACAATGGTAGAGGTTATTTAAAAGGTCATGAGAGTATTTCCAAAGCAATAAACAAAATGGCCCAGTAGGTCCTAGGGATGGTAGTAGTGTTAACCAGGCCCTGTGTCTCTGAGGAATGGGGCTTCTTGGGAGAAAATTACTCCCATTAAATAAAATTGGTAAAAGGTCTTGACTGAAGAAGCCAGCTTCCCAAGTTCTAGTAACCACAGCTGGGACAACCAGGCCAACCCAAGCTTAGTGGAACTCCATCCTAGAACTCAACCTTCTTACCCACAGACATATAATCCAAATACAAACCAACCCCAGGAACTGTAGGATACCACAAGTCTAGGGTGACAAAAAGGAGTTCTGGTACCATAGTGGTTACAAGTTGGACTGCTAACCTCAAGGTCAGCAGTTCAAAACAACCAACTGTTTGGTGGAAGAAGAGTGAGGCTTTCTACTCCCGTAAATTTACAGCCTCAGAAACCCTATACAGGGTCACTCTAAACCAGAACCAGGGTGGCAAAATGTGCTATTAATTATGGGACACAGAACCATGACACTATCTCAAAATATTTCTCCTACCCAAGCCACCATTTCTTACTTGCCAATCTCTAAAATTCATGGCTTTAAAATGTGCATCCTCTTGAGTAAGCGAGATTAACAGCAAGTAGGCAGTGAATCAAAGGCTCAGGCAAATATTGGTGGAAGAGGGTGATGTTGAAAAGGGGGCAAAGGCTGAGAGGGAGACAGGCAATGAATATAAACTTTGCCAATCACATACACTGACCAGCAGACATAAAGCCTGTGCCTGGAGCCAAGTCTCTTCTCTGAGCAGGAGGGTTCTTTAATTAGAGTCAAGTGAGGATAAACATCCTTGGGGAAGATACAAGAGGATGAAGTTCAACAACATCTACCTGATGGCATGTGCTTCTTGGAATGCAGCCTAAGATGTTAGTGCTACATTATCTCTCTTTCGGGACAGGACTCCCAGAGCTTCAGCTTAAAACAGAACAAGAGGACTTCCACTTTTTGTTAATTTCCACCACCACCACCTTCACAGGTCTCTCATTTTTCTTTTTCCCCTCTGGTAGCGTAGTGGTTATGAATCGGGCTGTGAACCTTAAGGTCAGCGGTTCGAAACTACCAGTCGCTCCGCGGGAGAAAGATGAGGCTTTCTACTCCCGTAAAGATTTACACCCTCGGAAACCCTGTACAGGGTTGCTATGGGTCGGAACTGACTCGATGGCACTCAACAACAACAACAACAACAACCTGTTCTAATAGCTTATTTTGCTGTTTTGTTTTCACTTGAAAAGAAGGAGAAAAAAAACAACAACAAACTCCATTTTTCTAAAACTGCCTTGATTATTTTTGCAAGAATGACCAGATTTTCTTTAGTTGTCCATCTTCTCCTGAAATCATAACCTCTCACCTTGAAGCCTGTGGGACACCAGTCTACAAACTGGATAGTCCTCTTGGTCTTGATGGCAGCAATAGCAACATTCACGTCCTTGGGCACCACGTCCCCCCGGTAGAGCATGCAGCAGGCCATGTACTTGCCATGTCTGGGGTCACACTTCACCATCTGGCTGTTGGGCTCAAAGCAGGAGCTGGTTATCTCAGCCACAGAGAGCTGTTCGTGATAGGCTTTCTCGGCAGAGATGATGGGTGCATAGGTGACCAGTGGGAAGTGGATGCGGGGGTAGGGCACCAAGTTGGTCTGGAACTCTGTGAGGTCCACGTTGAGGGCCCCATCAAAGCGGAGAGAGGCGGTAATGGAGGACACGATCTGACTAATGAGACGGTTGAGGTTGGTATAGGTAGGGCGCTCAATGTCAAGGTTTCTGCGGCAGATGTCATAGATGGCTTCATTGTCTACCATGAAAGCACAATCTGAATGTTCCAGTGTTGTATGGGTAGTCAGGATGGAGTTGTAGGGCTCTACCACCGCAGTGGACACCTGTGGAGCTGGGTAGATAGCAAACTCTAACTTGGACTTCTTGCCATAATCTAGGGAGAGGCGTTCCATCAGCAGAGAAGTGAACCCAGAGCCAGTGCCCCCACCAAAACTGTGGAAGATCAGGAAGCCCTGCAAGCCAGAGCAGGCATCCGTCTGGGGAAAGGAGAACATGAGAAGAAACCATGAAGGCAAGTTTCTGGGTCTAGCTCCACATAGACAAAACTAAGCAACCCATTCAATCTGCCCCACCCCATTCCTCAACATTTTTATGTGGGTGAAATCAATACAGCCTTGAAGGAATAAGAAAATATGCACTGATCTGGCAAGGTCTAAGTATGGAGTAGACATGACATGCATACATTTGCACATGCCATACAATAGATATATATCTCTAGGTACATGAAGGTTTCAGCGCAGTGGCTTCGTTAAACCAGGTGTGAGTGCAGAACCACAGTGGTCTGAGTATTTGTCTTTTGAGAGACCCAACTCCCTGCACAGTTCTGCCACCCACCCTTCTAATTTGAATTCATAGAAACTCCTGACTGATCTCCACATCTCAGTCCAACCTTGGAAGGTAGCTCAGTACCAATCTCAATACAAATGGGGTCACAGAATCTGAGTTTTAATCTCAGTCGTTCCATTTTCCAATTGTGAAAACTTGATCAGGTTACTAACTTCTCCATGTTTTTGGTTAAATGGAGACAACATAAAGAAAGAGTCATAAGGCTGCTGTGATTATGAAATGAGACCATAAGATGAAATGATTCAACCTACAACTCAGAGGTTTATGCTCAGACCAACCTGGGTCATGTCCTAACTCTGCCACTTTCTAGCTGTGTAACTCAGGCTAAATAATTGAACCACTTGGGCCTTTAATTTCTTCATCTGTATAACACAGGGGAAAGACTCCCTTCATATCCTTATAAAGAGGATTAAGGAGCTCTTGGAGCATAGTGGTTACGAATCGGGCTGTGAACCTCAGGGACAGCAGTTTGAAACTACCAGCTGTTCCACTGGAGAAAAATGAGACTTTCTGCTCCCATAAAGATTTACAGCCTTGGAAACCCTGTACGGGGTCGCTATGCGTCGGAACTGACTCCACAGCACATAACAACAACAACATTAAGAGGATTAAATGAAGGAATATATAGCATTCCTGGCATGTGTTAAATATTCAAATATACACGCTCTTTCTCTTCTCTTACAAGTTAAATGCTTTGTTCACCTATGCTGCCAGCAAGCAAAACTTAGCCTTCCTTATATCTGGAATCTTCCTCAGATACTAACCTGGAGTATTATAAGTATTAATTGGTCATTGGCCTGTAGGGTAGTCCACGATGCTCAGGTGGAGGAAGGGGCACCATCCCTATGTATCTTACAGAACACGGCAGAAATTCCAAGTCCTTAGTGAATCACGTATTCAGAGAGGTATAAAGCCAAGCCTCTTGACTCCAGCCTGCCTCACCAAGTCCTTTGCTCTTTTTGGCACTTACCAATTTGCGTATGCGGTCCAGCACTATGTCGATGCTCTCCTTGCCCACCGTGTAGTGGCCTCGGGCATAGTTGTTGGCTGCATCTTCCTTTCCTGTGATCAGCTGCTCTGGATGGAAGAGCTGGCGGTAGGTTCCTGCCCGAACCTCATCTGCCAAGAAAGGAGGGTTGTGAGGTCTTACCACCTGGTATCCAGGGGAGAAGCCTCCCTCTCCATTGGAATACCACATGCTCTGCATCTCCATTTCCTCCATCTGCAAAGCTCAGCTGAGATGAAATTAGAAAGCCATTACAATCCACCCGCAAAGGACTAAGAGAAGGCCAGGGTCACATAGGCACACAGAGCCTGTGGCTCAGCTAGGCAATGAGATGCCAACTGCTTGGTGCGCTGGATCAAGTTTATAAAGCTCACCAAAGTTAAATGCCTCTCTCTCTTTCCACTTTGACCCCTCAAAGTTTCCCTTTAGTTTAGTTTTTTGTTTTTTTTTCATGCTTCAAAGTTACTCTTGATGCCAATAAGTTAACCCAATTTTACTTGTATAAAAATGTTCTAGGGATAAAGAGATAGATTCAGGGTGGTCTCCCTAGATCCTACTCTGTCCCAGGACTTGTCCCACCCCTCACCTCCATCCCAAGGTGGCAATAACATATGCACATATCAAGTATTAGAGATATTTTGGAATGACTCGGAAGCAAACTGCATCCCAGGTTTCTAGAGGAGGAGGAACACTAGAGAGGCTGCCAAGGGGCTTGCTGGCCATGTGGGTGATCAATATGCTCCAGGCCCCAACTTCATTCCTCTCCACAGTCCCTCTTCAGAAGGCACCCTTTGTGTGGCAGCGTGGGAGGGCAACCAGCGCTTTCTACATGTGTGCAAAGTATCCAGAGAGTGGAGTATCTATAGTCAGTCACCCCTAGAAACTAACTGCAGGCATTTTCCCAAACATCTATGAGGAACTTGTCCATCCCTTGCTTGGTGAGCCAGCCTTGAAACTGAGGAAATCCTGATGTTGAGCTGAGAGTTGATCCAAGGTCAGACCCAAGGGAAGGACTGGGGAAGCAGGAAGGGACGGGGCAGAGCAGTAAGAAACAACCAGACACAAATCAGAATCCCTCTGCTTTCCACACCCCAAAAGAGGTTCATTCTAGGACTACAGCCACCCCTGGAGGTTAAGAGTACATCCCTGCTGCTATTCCATTTTGGGTCTAAGAGATTGCAAGGTTATACCAGATCTGTGAGGACAAACCTCATTTATTTAGAATTAGAAACCTATGCTTTAGGTGAACTGGCCCCTTGGGAGCTTCTTATCATTTCTAAAATTATTTTGTATACACTTAGTATTTAGTAACAATCTTAGCAATTTCAGTCTTTCCCTGAAGGTTTTAAGCTAAAGACATTTTGTTCTTCGTAGGTTAGAGCTATAATGGGGTAGCAGAGATCCTTGATCCCTATTGTGAGATTCCCCAAGACTGTGTTGTTGTTGTTGTTGTTAAGTGCCATCGAACTGTGTAGACCCCCAAAAAAACTGACTAAAGTCAGGGAGCTCTAGTTCAGCCACTGGTACCTCCATTGGAGACTCTCTTCCTTAGTTCTCCTAGACCAAAGCTTCTACCTTTCGTGTTGTGGACCTGTAACAAGACCAATCCCATACTCACCCACAACAGTAGGTTCCAGGTCTACCATGACAGCCCGGGGCACATGCTTCCCATTGCTAGTCTCACTGAAAAAGGTGGTGAAAGAGTCATCGTCGTTGACTTTGCTGGCCTGGATGCCAAAGGTTCCATCAGCTTGGATGCCGTGCTCCAAGCAGAAGAGCTCCCAGCAGGCATTGCCAATCTGAACTCCTGCTTGACCCACATGGACTGATATGCATTCCCGCTGTGGGGGGAGAGAGCAGTCAAGGTCAGAGAGGTCTTGGTCCCCAGCCATGCCTGTCCCCTACATCCCTCCCATCTGAGGATGTTTCCACTTAATATTCAGCTTCCGGAAAGCCATCTCTCCAGCCATGCATTATACTAAGTATGTATAATGGGTGTCGTTAGTGTTATGATTACAAACATAGCCTGTATCCCCCAGAGTCGGATGGTGTCGCAGATGTCAAGTGAACAGTCCCCAATGCATCTGAACCAAGACTCGGCTCCAAAGACAACATAATTCTGTGGTTTGCTCTAAAAGTGGTTTTCCAAGGTCAAACCCTTATCCTAGGAAAGGAAAAAGAAGGCAACTACACAGGGGAAATAGGGAGCTAATGTAAACCCATAGACTGCTGGCCTGAATCAGAAGGTCAATAGAAGGGTCCATGGCAACAGCAGAAATTAGACCTAAATTCACTGCAATGCACTGTCAGCATTTGTCTTCATGGGTGTTGTTGTGTCCATGTGTTTTACAGTCAATTTCAACTCATAGACACCCAGTGTGTCAGAATAGAACTGCCCCATAGGGATTATTTTTGCATCTGTAATCTTTATGGGAAAAGATTTCCATTCTTTTTTCCCCCACCAGCTATAACTCAGAAACCCTGTACAAAGCCACTGAGTGGATTCAGACCACTAATCCCTTTCAGTTAGCAGCTGAGCAACTCACCAGTGCACCACCAGGGCTCCTTTCTTCAAGCCTAGCCCCTAACTTTCCTAGACAGCAGTGACACCACACACACACATCGCAGTCTCCGAGTGGAGTCGTAGACAGCAGTTGAACACTTACAGAAGGAGTATGTATAATGGGTGACTTAGTGCTGGGGTTACAAATCTAGGAATAAGACAGAACTGGTGGCATATCAGCATGAGAGCTCTTCCTGAACTGAGAAATTGGAAAACCTTTATAGCCACCACAACCCTTCCCCTTGCCTCTGTCAGGCCAAGTGTTAAATAAAGCTGACCTTTTTTGAGTGACCTTATCTCTCTGTTATTCTGGTGTGAGGCCACAACTACCTGATTGGTCCTAGTACTAACAACTTAGGGTGGTGTGTAAGGTGTGTCTATAAGTGGTGTGTGTGGGGGGGTGTACACACCCATATATGAAATCTTGCTGGAACAATGGAATCACCACCCTTACCCACACACCCAGCTCTGAGGAAGTTGTGGACCACACGGGTGGCTCTGTGCCTGAGATGCCCAACAGAGCCCAACAGGGAAACACGTGGCTAGTCTGTAGTTTCCATTCTTACTCATGACCTGACGTGGCATTTCCCAGCTCCATGTAACCTAAACTAGTAGCAGAGCCTCCAGTGGGCAGGAAGCAGCAACCCACATCAGAGTCTGGAACTCCTGAAAACTTGAAGGTTGTCTGAACCCAGGTCAGCAGAGGTGTCAGAACCTGTAGCTCCCAAATTCAGTTTTACAACTAAGTGCCTCTTCTGCACCTGTCTTTATGCTAGAGCTGAGTGATACACAGCTCCTGCCTTCAGGGCAGATGAAACCATAAAACCAGAAATCAAACCAGTTTGCTTCTAGTAGATACTGACTCATGGCAACCTTGTGTGTTTCAGAGCAGAACTGTACGATACAGAGGCTTCAGTGTTGTGTGCCATCGAGTTGGTTCCAACTCATAGCAACCTTGTGTAGTGTTTCTGAGAGTAGCTGGTGGGTTTGAACTGCCGCCCTTCTGATTGGCCTAATCCTACAGCTCCATACCAGGGCTAAGGGTTTTCAATAACTGTAATCTTTATGGAAGAAGCTCTGGTGGCTCAATGGCTAATTACTCACTGCTAACTGAAAGGTCAGTGGTTTGAATCCACCAACAGCTTCACAGGAGAAAAGACCTAGTGATTTGCTCCCATAAAGATTATAGCCTAGGAAATCCTATAGGACAATTCTACTCAGTCATTTAGGGTTGCTATGCGCCAAATCTGGTAACACAGTGTTTACAAGTCAGGCTGCTAACCTCAAGGTCAGTTGTTTGACACTACCAGCCATTCCACAGAAGTAAGATGAAGCTCTCTGCGCCCATAAAGATTTACAGCCTCGAAAAACCTACATAGGGTTGCTACGAGTTGGAACCGACTCCACAGCACACCACCACCACTATACATCAAAAGGAGTCTTGGTGTGGTGCTGTAGGATAAGTCCTGGACCGCCAGGTTGGTTTGAACCACAAGGACGGTGATTTCAAACTCAATAGCTGCTTCTTGGAAGCCCCGTACAGGGTCATTATGATTTGGAACAGACTCAACAGCACACAGCAACAATAAGCCAAAACTGACTCAATGGTATACAATAACAATCTTTATGAAATAGATCACCAAGCCCTTCTTCTGCAGTACTTCTAGATTGATTTCAACTGCCAACTTTTTGGTTAGCAGCCAAGTGCAAACCATTTTGGTCACCCAAAGGTCTCAGTGAGTCAGAATCAACTCAACAGCAATGGGTTTTTTGGTGGCTAGGGAATGGTTTCAAATCCTGCCTTCTTGATTAAGTTAGTGTGTGTTCTTGGCTGAGTCACTTAACATCTCCTTATCTGAAAATCAGAGTACCCCCTGATAGGGTGTTTGTCAGAATTAAATGAGTTGTTGCATTTAAGTTACAAAGGGCTTAGTCATGATTGTTGTTATCTTTACAGCTACTATTTATGTTGTGATATTACTGGATCATAGTCCAATCCGGCTGTATTCTCTACCTGAAAATTACATTATGATACTACTGTATCATAGTCAATCAAATGCTGCTCTATTCTCCACCTGAAAGACATGCATGTGGAAAGTAACCTTCATTATGGAGTCTAATTCTTTGCCTCCATCTTAGGACTCAATTCAAATCTAAGAAAATCTGTTCTACACCCAGGAACCAGCCCACAACCAGTGCATTACTGACCCAGACCACACATCCAGCATGTAGCTGTGTCTTCTGAGAGAGGTGTCCAAAGCAGAGGGGATATTACAGAGGACTGGGGAAGGTGCCCAATCACACATATTCTACTTCCAAGTGAGGGCATCCCTTCTGACCCTTAGCCTTCGGGGCCTTGACTTCAGATCACAATAACCACCATCACCATTACCCTCCAACCTCCCTCCAGTTCTTATCTATGGTGTTTGGTTCACAGTCTGCCCTCCTGTCTGGAACACTCTGACCTCTTCAAGGAAGATGAAGTGATACCTCAGGAATATCAAATGTGCTGGGAGGAAAAGTAAGGCTCTTGGGAGCCTGAGTGTCACCAGCAAAGTGATTATCAGTGTTTTTAGCTTCTTTGGATGCTCCTCTGTAATCTCATACCAACACGCCAATGTGTCAGCCTTCACAGACAAAATGTCTCTTTGACTCTCTCGGTCTCTTACTCTCATTCTGAAGCGCACAGACATACACATACACGCGCGTTGTTGTTGTTGTTAAGTGCCTTCGAGTTCATTCCAACTCATAGTGGCTCTGTATCAGGTTTCTAAGGCTGTAAATCTTTGTGGGAGCAGAAAGCCTCATCTTTCTCTCGCAGAGTGGCTGACTGGTGAGCTCGAATTGCAAATCTTGTTGTCTGAAGTCCAGTGCTTATCATATGGAGCCACCATGCTCCACCACACACACAAGCATACACTTTAGGAAAAGCTATTTTCCATGTCAAATGAAATCGCAAGAGTAATTTAAACTATACAATAGAGTCAAATTATTTGCAGACTCATAGATGCTCTCAAAAGTCAAAGATGACTACAGCAGTCACAAGAAAAGGAAAGCTTCTCTGTGCTATTACCCACTAACAGGAACCAGGGCTCCTTGGAAAAAGAGATGTTTCAGGGTCTGGCATAGGGAATGTGCAAGAGGAGCCTGGAACATCTTATAATGCCTGAAAGCAAGGACTGGAATGATGTCAAAAATCACAGTTTGAAGAGGCTCCCACTGCCAAAAATGAGACAATCTGAGCATCAAAAAAATAATGACAGTAGTTAATTGAAACAGGATGGATATATGAAAATCCACAAATCCCTACTGTTATTTAAAAAGAGAACCACTGGGGGTGGGTGGGGGAACATGGAACATGGCATTTCTCCCCATCTAAACAGCCCGGGGAAAGCTCTTTTAAAAAAAAAAAAGAGTTGTAGGAGAAATCACACATTAAGAAATAGTACCATATTATGTTGTTGTTAAGTGCCGTCAAGTCAGTTCTGACTCATAGTGACTCTGTATAAGGGTTTCAAGGAGTGGCTGATAGGTTTGAACCATCTACCTTGTGGCTAACAGTCCAGTGCTTATCCTACAGTGCCACACCAGGAATCCAGCGCCATATTACAGTATCTAGTTAATTAGTTGATTGTTATTGTTAAGTGCAGTCGAGTCAGTTCCAACTTACAATGACGTTGTACAGGATTTCTAAGGAGCCACTGATAGACTTGAGCCACTGAACTTGCAGTTAGCAGTCCAGTGTCAATTGAAGTCTCCAGTTGTCACTAGCCTAACATGATCAATCTTTATATCACTAGTAGTAAGGCAATCAGAAATTAAGGGCTCCTGATCTGAGGTAGCATGATAGATATACAAAGATCATCAAAAAGAATCAATCACCCTTCATCTATTAGTCCCTTTAGATTTGATTTCCAATTTAGAGAAAACACAGAGATTAGCAGTACAAACGAATTAACATCATGTGGAAACAATAAAATAAATCCAGAAGTTAAGAACATTATACAGGGCAACTTACCCAATCTTTCTAATTCATGAAAAAATAAGGGTGGTGAAAGGGAGTATGTATATTAAAAGAAAATTGATGTAGCAACCACATATAAATACATGAACTTGGACTGAATTCTAAATCAAAACATTTGGGGGACACATAGAGAGACTGATTGCTTTTGTTAGATGCAATAATGAAATTAGAGTTAAATATGAAAATGTCACTTTTTTAGGGTTGTATCCTGAAGCATTTGTGGTAAGCTGTCATGTTGTCTGTACAAGGGGGCT